CACAGTTCCCCAGTTTTCTTGAGTGGGAACAGCAGGAAATATTCGATAGAAGGATTTAGATTGTAGAGACAAACAGGAAATAAAGGGTAGCGTCAAGAGGGCCTGGAACCTATTCCAATAGGCCCTGACTGTCTCTGCCCCCAAGGTATTTATAGAAATGCCAAAGGGTGGAGCAAAAGACCTCCCCACAGCCCAACCAAGTGCAGACCATCTCAGACACCTGCACTCAGGCCCATGGTCCTAATCATCCTCTCTATGAGGACCTGCTGGGTAAAGCCATGAGGAACCTGAAAACCGGCTCCCACAGGAACTAGCGAGAGCTCAATAGTTAAAAGTCCAGGTCCAGGGGTTGGGAATTTATCTCAGTGGTAGAGCACTTGCCTAAAGGCCCTGGATTTGGTCCTCAGCTCTGGGGAAAAAAAAAGTCCAGGTCCCAGAATTCATGTAACAAACCAGGTGTCCCACACATACCTGTAACCCCAGCTGAGAGGGGCAGAGAGTCACTAGACTTACTGGCTTCCAGCCTATCTGGGGAAATGTTAGCCTTTGACAGACTTTTCCTGGGGAGATGAAACATATACATGTCTATTCATGCCAGAAAGGGAACCCGTGCATACCAAAATAACAAATGTACCAACAACGGCCTTGCTGAAGCGGGAAGTTTGTTCTGGAGTTCCTAACAGGAGCATGGGTGAGGGGTCATTGATAGAAACAGCTGCATCCCAGGAGCTCTCTGCACAGCTGGCAGGCAGCTGGACAGGCCCAAAGGCTTTCCTCTGCAGCATGCCTCTAGGAGTCCACTCTGCAACAGGTGGCGTGTGCTTCCACTCATGCCGGGCTCTCACGAGCTTTATCAGCCCTATGACACTTTATTTACTGAACCTCCCCCTCCCTCGCAGAGGGAACGCTTCAATCTGGAAGAAACTACTCTACAGCATCCCTAGGTTTGGAGAAAGGCCACCTCTCAAAAGAACAGGTAAAGAGTAACAGAGAACACCTGGTGCCTTCCGGCCTCTGCACATGCACCTGCAGACACACGTGTATGTGCGCGCAGACACATGCGGGTTAATCTTTTAAAAAGCCTGCTGCCCACGAGGGACAAAATCCCTTAAAACACTACAAAGAGAACTCCAAGGTTCAGGCTGTGGGGCCAGGCAGGAATGAAGTAAGGCTACTTGGGGAAGGACGGCTGCACTCACCTCCACACAGGCCTGCCGAGACTCGAGGGACTCATCATCTTGCTGATCCATGGTCTCCTCCAGGTGTAGCCAGGTGCCCAGCTGCACAAACAAAAGAAGCTCTGAGCACAGCCCACACTGCCGCCCTCCAGCCCAGCCTACCCACCTAGATCAGCTTCTAGAAGTTAAGGCTCCAACTGGGCATTAACCAAGGACCCCTCAGTTCCTCCTCTAGGCCAAATCTTCATAGCTCCAATTGTTCCTCTGTTCCCACTGCCCTGTAAGCCCACCCCATGCTCACACATGGCCTTCTGCCCACTACCAAAATGTGCGGCTCCAGTCAGGACCTTCACTGGGTCCTGGGAGCCCCACAAATACCCAGCACACAAAGAACTCCTTTGTATTATGTACTTGACTGCCCTGAGCATGCAACCACAAACAAACCGGGACCTCTTCCTAGGACCAGCAACCAGAGCCACTGACCAAATGGATGGAGCTCGGGACGCAGCCCAGCCTTCCTGATTTCACCATGGCCCTTTCATCAGCCAGGCCAGATCTTTCACCGAATCCCAGAGCTTCCACCTTCCTATCCAAAGGTGGGGACAGGACCCTAGCTCCTCCCTCCACTATCCAACTTGAATCTGGCTCAGATTCTTACCAAACCCTTAGGCCCTGAATTTGTAGCTTGAACCTGATTCCTCCATCGATGTGGAGGGCTCTGTGGCCTAAAGCTGCCATAGTCTATGCAGGATTGGGGAGTAGGGGGGGGGGAGCTCTGCAGATACAGCACAGGTACAGGCCCAGAACCTGTATCTCTGTAGCTCAGCTGTCACTGTGCCAATCTGATGTCACAGACTCTGAAACCAGGGCAGCACCTGGCCAGTCCCAGCTAGGCACCCAACTCCACCACAGACCCTTGCTGGTTTATGCCATGCTGAGGACGGGTCCCAGGGTTCTGTGCATGCTGGCAGTCTACCCACTAAGCCACATCCCCAGCCCGTCTTTCTTTCTCACTACCCTGCCCCTGACTCTCACACTGGAGTACAGCCCCATCTACTTCCATCCACCCACCTCTGTAGGCCCCAGCTTGAGTCTCAACCTGTACAAATTCCTACTGTAACACTTTCCTGGGCACCTGAATCCCAGGGCGACCCTGTCTTTCTCCTGTCTTGGGCATCAACTGGTTGTGATTACAGCAAAATCCATCAAGACCCCAGCACTGTGTATCTAAAATCCATTGCTAGCAGGGCACAGTGGCACAAGCCTTCAACCCCAGCAGATTCCCACCCAGGATTTGTATTCAGGACCCAGGCTCCTTGCCAATCTGAGGTTCTTTTTTTGCTTTGTTTTTGGCTTTGATTCCTTGGTCTTTTGAGACTGGGTCTCATGGAGTCTAGACTGGCCTCAAACTCACCATCCTCCTGCCTCTACTTCTCAAGTGCTGAGTTTATAGGCATGCGTCACCAGACCTGGTTTATGAAGTGCTAGAGTTGGAACCCGGGGCTCTGTCCATGTTAGGCAAGCACCTAACCCCCCGAGTTTACACCCCCAGCTTCGGTCAGGTTCTTAAAGGAATCTGAATCCCCTTATGCCTGGAAGTCACAGCTGCCACAAAGGCCCTGCAGTCACCAGCCCTGCAAGCCTGTAGAGCTGCAGTTATAATACAATATGGCTGGTATCTGAGCACATACCTCCAGAGCTGTGCACCTCAGCGTTTGGCTCCCTGGAGTTCTCGAGCCTGTGCTGGAGCTGCTCCCATGGGGCCTGCGCCCCACCCCCACCCCCCACTCCATCCCCCCACCCCCACCCCCGTCTTCCACCCCACCCTCCTATAAACCTAGGTGTTCTATTGCTTGAAGGCAGAATCGCCCAAAGCAAAGGTCCCAGCTATTCCAACTCTGCAAAGACGCTTACTGCATCCACCTCCTCCCAGACAGCTGTCTATCAGAAGGCAGCTAATGTGGGAAGTCCTTCGGGATGCAGAATCCTTACTTACCTCCTAGCTGGAGCCTCTACCCAACTTGGACATTTTAGAACCCTGCATTATTCTACATGGGTTCTGGGGTTCACTTCAAGATCCTCTAACTCTGGTATGCACATGGGACATTCTGCCTAGAACCCTCTTCTAGGCCCCGGGACCCTCAATCAGGTACTTGGCTGTCTAAAAGATTGATTAGCTCAAGCAACACTGCCTTTCTTAGGGCAAGACCAGGAACTCCAGCCTGCTCTCCTGTGTACCCATTTTCTCCAAATAGAAATGCTCCCTCTTAGTGAAGGTGGGAGGCTCTAAGACTCAGAAAATAAACAAAACTTAAGAAATCCCAGAAGCTGAAACTTTAAGTTCTGCACGCACGCACACTCCTCAAGGTTACAGAGGCAATGGCAATAGCTGAGGAAGAAGTACTCTGCCCAGATGAGCTGCCTTCAAGTCTTGCAGGCAGAGATGCAGCTACTTTCCTGAGTCACCATCCATGGGCTTTTCAGTGAGGCAGCTGAGTCATTCATGCTCCTGTAGGTAACCCCTCACACATACTTCTGTAAGGAACGACAATAAAACCACTGGCTCACCAGGCTAACCTGGGGTTTGACCGTTTCTTTGGTTGGTCGTCATCATGCCTGACCTGGGAACAGAAGCTTCGTATCTCCAACAGGACATGCAAGAATAGTCTCTGCCCCCGGCCCCTGAACCACCTTCCCAGAATGCTGGCTGGTGCTCCCGAGACAAACACTTGCTCAAGAGTACAGAAACAATGATACAGTCTCGCTCTCTAGGGACCCGAGGAGGGGGCTTCTCGGTACTTTAGAACGAAGATCAGGAATCGATCCAGTCACACCCACCTCTGCCCAGTGTCTGTCCTACTCTCAAAGCCAACCCTGCATTCAGATCTAAGGCCACCAAACTCTCAGTTATTCCGGGCTATAGGTGACACACGCTATAATGGACTCAGTAGACTAAATGGGCCCATCCTCCCCACATCAAGGTCATCCCCTCCAGGAATACAAGACCCTCTGCTCCCCGAGACAGACAGGAATCAAGGGGCAGCCTGACGACAAGCAGGGACAACTCCCTCCTTCCTTGGAAACCAGTAAGGGACCCCTATTGTGCCACGTAGACCTGAACTCTCTCTACCTCAGAGGCCCCGCCGTGTTGTCTTTCCGGGGCGAGAACACCTCTTTTAAAGATCTTCTGTCCAAAACGCAATTAGCGTTCGTGTGCCCCTGGAGTCTTGCAAGCACCTCCCCCATAGCTATGCCTGTGCCCTGTCTTCCATCCTCCAGGACATCTTCGGTCCCGAACAAGTCCCACCACCCGCCCAATCACCCGCGCATGCGCGCACTGCACGGTCACAGCTGCTGTGTCTCCAGAGACCTCCGCGACCCACAGGGGCCCGGACTGAGGCGCAGGGAGCCCCATTCACTGACACCGCCGCGTCCAGCTTCCCGCCCAGACCTTGCGCATGCGCATCCCAAGCACGAGGAGCGGTCCCCTTAGCTCCTACCAACCTGGGCGTCCGCGAGCCCGCAGCGTGGGCCGGCCCGGGCCTGAGCCGCACAGGACTCGGCGTCAGGACAAAACTGGGCTCACGGCGTCCTGTCCCGACCCTGGAGCACATCCGACATGACTCGAGTGGCGCTAGTTTGGCCTCCACCTCGAGTCAGCATCCACCGGGTCGCTCCGTGCAGACTGAGCCCGGCCACGAAGCGGGGCCACAGCCGGCGCCCACACACATACTCACAAATGGCTGCACTGCCGGCTAAACCCGGAAGTGGGGGGAAGCCGCTCAGTTGAACTACAATTCCCACAAATCTCAGTGACGAGCGCGCAGCCGCGGGCAGGACTCAGCGCCAAGAGGCGGGACCTCGAACGCGACGGACTGGAGTGCGGCTGCGCAGTTCGTCTCAGCGTTTGAGAAGCGCAACAGGCGGTCCAGGGCAGGGTAGGGATGCGGGGGACGTGGCCATTTGGGGGGAGTCCTGCTCTAAGCCGGCATAGAAGCTGGCTTGTACACTGTCAAGTCCGAGAGACAGGCGACGTCCCCATTTTACAGTTTAAGAAGCTCTAACTGAGCCGGCGGGATGGCTCAACGGCTAAGGCGATTGCTGCCAAACGTGGTAACCCGAGTTGGATTCCCGAACCCCCTGGAAAGAATTGGTTTCCCTAAATTGTCCTCTGACCACCACACAAGTACCTCCACAAATGCACACACACGGGCGCGCGCAGACAGACGGACTGACAAACGTATTTTCCCCTCTCTTTATAACTCTGGCTGGCCTGGAACTCACAGAGAACCACCTGCCTCTGCTTTGCAAACGCTGGAAATTAAAGGCATGCTCCACCACACCCGTCTTATAAATGCGATCTTGATAAATTCTGGCACTTTTGTATTTGGTAGTTGTCAGTGTTAGGTCTCAAAAACCTGGGACAAATGGCTGAGGTGCCTATTAACATATCCAAGTGGTTGTTGGCCGTCTCTCCCAGCATCACCCTGTACTTGTGGCTCCTCCCAGCATTTCTCACCCCAAACCCCTACCCTACATCTCTCCCCCACAGGGGCTGGCCTTCTGCTTCACTTCCCCCGGCTTCTCTTTCCTGTATAAACTCAGCCATTTTGGCTGTGAGGTCTCTTGGTTCCCAGGCACTCTCTTGGTCTCTTGGTCCTCGGCTCCTCCCTTTGCTCCCTCTCTCTTTTCTTCCTCTCTTGCTCTCTCATCCCTCTCTCTCCACTCATGGCTCAGTTCAGTCTGATGCCTCAGGCTGTTCTCTCCCTCATAGCTCAAACATACCCAAGAGCGGTCATGTCCTCATTTTTTTCATTCAACTGGCACTGAAACCCGGGATTGGCGTGAATGAGTTCCCTTCCAAAGGACCCTGCCTCTCCAAACCAACCTGCTGATTTGCCTCTCCTAAGGTATGTACGTATCATCTGTTTCTTCTGGCTTCTGCCACCCACAAAATTTGATTCCAAATTCTAGAGTCTGATTCTCAGCTGCTTTCTTGCCGTGCATCTCATCTACTCTGTAACTGTCTCTCTGGCTCCTGGAGCCCGCTAAGCCCCCTGGGGCCCCACATGGCACATCCCTCTGCTAAAGATGCTTGTCTCCTTCTATTGGAATCCTCTCTTTTCCCAAAGCCTCTCCCACTCCGCCTTCAGCAGCTCTTTCCTCTCCTCCTCTACTGGATAAGGATCACCCCAGCACTGCCTGCTCTGTCTACTATTACTACAAAAGCCACACCAATGTACCAGAAAGTTCCTCTCGCCTTACTGGACCCCCATCAAGTGGAAAGAGATGCCTCTCCTCTGTGATTTGGGACATTTCTCTCTGGCAGGTCTCTCTTTCTGCTTGGAGACCCTGGTGGTAATACAGCGATGGTTGGTCGGCGGAAAAGTCAATGGCCACGGCAGAACCCAATGTTAGTTTTTAGAGCTTTATTGGAGGGAAAGGGGGAGAGAGAGAGAGAGCCAGGTCTAGGGGAGGGAGCAGAGAGGGAACAGAGAGAGGAAACACAGGAAGAGAGGGTAGAGAGGAATCACAGAAAAAGAGAGGTGGGGGTCTGCATCCAGCTTTTTTAAGGCAGGGATTTGCGTGACCATGTGGCAGTACGCAGTCACCCACGCCCACCGATGATGTAAGACTCAAGCTGCACATGTACAGAATCCTAACAGCCCCCTGGTATTGAACACTTATCTCTCTCAGCCTTTTGTTCAAGGCCCCTTTCTAGAACTTCCTCTCGACCATCCCTAGGAACTACCTGCCCTGTCTCTTCCTCAAGCCCTCCTATATTGGAATCTCCCTCGGTTGACCCTGTTTCCTCTCAGTTCCCTCGTAAAAGTCCCACAGATTCTCTATGCCTTCCTGGGTTTCTTTCTGTCGCTCAACTCCCTCTTAAAGCTATAGGAACTCTCTCTAGTAGAGTTAGTTAGCACTCGGGAGGCAGAGGCAGACAAATCTCTGACTTTGAGGCCAGCCTGGTCTACAGAGTGAGTTCCAAGGACAGCCAGAGCTAACCAGAGAAACACTGTCTCATTGGGTATGGTTTAAAAAAATCTATAAAATCTGTAACAAAATTTAGTTTAAAACATCTAGCAAAACGATTATAGTTAAAAATCTATATACATGAGTAATCTAAATTTGCCACAATATACTATTTATGTGATTCAGCTCTTGTTTAGGATATACTGTATATGTAACTTGGATTCGATTTTTTTTGGAAGAAAACGTTTATTTTGGTTCCCAGCTCCAGAGGGATGAAAGTCCACAATGGCAGAATGGCGGGTCAGCAGGCAGTCAAACAGACAGCCAGAGCGGGCAGCTGAAAGACCACATTTCAATCCACCCCCACCAAAAGCAGAGTGACCTGGAAGCAAGGCAAGGCAATAAACTCTCTAAGTCCACTCCCCTCCCACTAACAAACTTCCTCCATCCAAAGTTCCAGAACCTCCCCCAAACAGCGCTATCCCATGGGGACAAAGTGTTCAGATACACAAGCCTGTGGGGGATAGTACTCATCAAATCACTATGACTTTTTATCTTGTAGCCATATTAAGCTCCCATGCAGAGTTGAAGCACATTTTGAAGACAGCTTGGGCTTTTTGTAGACACTTTCCGAGTGTCTCACTTATCTATGTGTATGGCTGTCTTTGCAAACTGAGGTCTGTGGTACCATGTTGAGTAGAAGGGGACACGTACCGCCTCCCTTGCTCCTCAGCTTCAAAGCACTCATGTTTCTTGCTGGTGACACGTCTATTTAATGTCAATTCAACAGATTAAAGATTTCATTGGATTCGATTCTTGTTTTAAAAATAGATCTAGGGCTGGAGAGATGGCTCAGCCATTAAAGGCAAGGCTCACAACGAAAATAGATCTACTAGGAGAATACATACTTTGAAATCACAATCATGTGACTTGCCTCCATCTTGGCCGATGACCGCATTAAGACAGAAACAAGCATGTGGCTGGCAGCCATCTTTACTAAACTTAAGAAAGCATACATGTCATATGACTTCATCTTGGTTAGAGGGCCACGTGGCATAAACCAACTAAAGCAGCACCTATTGAACTTCATAGTCCTGCTGAGCCCTTATATCATGATCATTGTATCTTCTTTCCAGACTAAGGAAACATCAGCAGGTCTCCAAAATATTTTGGATTAGTATGAATTTTGGCATGATAAATTCCAAAGGTTATGAAGGCCTACTCAGAAGAACAAAACTGATTTAGAGATTTATATCTAGCTGCTTATGTCCTTGATAACTATTCAACATCAGGCTTCTAGAAATTTTTAGATAAGAAACAACATATATTTGATAAATAATATATACTTAATAAATGAGGTTTATAAATTCATTAGGTTATGAAGGTATACTTAGGCTAACAGAAACTGATGTAGAGATGTATGTCTAACCATTTATGTCCTTGATAACTCCTCAACACCAGGGCTTCTAGAAAATTTTAAACAAGTAATAACATATGTCTGATAAATAAGGTCTACTCAGGTTCACAGAATAGCCTCTTTATCTTTGCTAAATTGGTGAAGCTTTAGCTATTTGGATAAACTGAGTCATACAAGTAACTGTGGTATTTAGTAATGGCACACTATAAAAAAGATAAAGAAAAAATACAGTCTCCCTGTGGATATGTGTATTTATGGTTTAAACTTTAATGCATTGTTGGTTTTAAGTTTTATTTTGGTGCTTAAAGGATTTCCAATTAAATCTTTAACTCAAAACTTTAAGGCTCAAATTTAACAGGGATAAAGCTGTGAAATCCTAAGCTTACAAAAGCTACTAACTTCTTATAACTGTTGAATAATTAAGACATTCAAGTTAATGCTTGGTCGCTTTATAAATGATAAATTATTTAATGTGCTAAGAACTATGTTCACAGCCATGCTAAGTACAAATGGAATTCATTTACTGACAAGCTTTATTTAGCCTTCTGTATGTGTTTCCAAGGTTAAGTCTAAAGCAAGTAACTAAAAACAAGTAAAGATTTGTTCAAATCAGATATACGTAATAGATAATGGTCCTCAAACTCTTCAGAGATCCACTGAAAATGGTGTTTAAAATATTTAGTGGAAAAGCTTCCCATGATAGAATGCCAGCTCCTAGAGACAACCCTAACATCTCCAAAAAAGATGGGGTACAGAGACTCCATCCAGATTGTGGCAATGCTAACCACTGGGGAGAGCCGCCCTGTGGCCTTGCCCGCTTCAAGGACCCTGCCCACACTGTGGACACTGTTAGGTTGACTGCCCTCCTCTGACTTTCCACAGTAGATCAGTTTTCCCAGGTTCCTTCAGGAAATCTCTCCAACCTTCTAGGTCTGTCAGAAAAAGGCTAATGCTGTCCCGGGCAGCAAATGAAGATTTAATGCTGTCCTGGATGACAGCCGAAGACAAATACTTCTGCCTCCAGTAAAGCCACCGAGGCCACCATAGGAGCCTAGGGTAACCATCTAGGTAGCAGTAAATCTCTGTCATTTTAACTGATACATCAGCCATTTGGATTATACTTCCTGCTATAATTTATCCTTCTCAGATCTCTGGTGGCGTTGATGGCTGGGCTAACTGTAACTTTGTCAGTTTAACAACAGAGAGCAACCAACTCCTTCCCCAAGACTGCAGCTTATAAACTATTACTCTAGCCCAGGAAAGCGCTAACTACTATTATAATCAACAAGCTCAAATTTTTAAGTTTTCTTTAGCTGTCTTCTAAATATAGACTTAAAAGCGCTTCTCATTGTGCTAAAAACATCTTTGTCCAATTTATATATCCTGCCCTCTGGAAAGTGTATTAATGATTTTCATCCAGAATCCTTTTTGTGTCCCCAAGCTTTTACTGTGCCTCAAAGACATGAGTCTACTGTATGGTGATATTTTATTTGTGCTGAAATGTGATTTTATTTGTATGTTAATAAAGTTGCTTGGAGATCAGAGCTAAGAGCAAGCCATTTAGCAGAAGTCCAGCATGGTGGCACATGCCCTTAATCCGATCACATGGCAGGCAGAGTCTCTGTGTGTTCAAGGACACAGCCAAGCGGTGACCGGAACCTTTAATCTCAGTACCAACCATAGAGACCTGGAGGTCTGTATAGACAGGCAGTGACGAGGAAGTCATGTGGTTGGGTTTAGAACCAATGAGAAAGCAGAACAGAAAGGCAATAAAAAGACAGGACATAGGAAGAAGGTCTCTCTCTGAGGGGAAGGACAGCATCGAGTGGTGAGATAAGGTGATCTTAGCTCTTGGCTACTGCTCGATCTCTGGGCTTTTAACTCTTCATTTGGCTCTGTGTTTCTTATTTAATAAGACCATTTAGAATTTTGTCTACACTACAGCTTTCTCTACAGTGTGGGCTTCAGCACAAATTACAAACAGTAACAACGCTAACATATCTAAAACTTTTATCTTTTTACAAACTTAAAAAATAATCCATGTAAGCTTCAGGGAGTCAACTTGGCTCCATGGAAATTTCATATTTACAAATTATCTCCTAAAGTCCTTAACTTTACCTTCTGTCTCTAATCTATATCTGCCCCAGCCAGTTTCCAATCGGCTGCAGACTGCTCCAGCTTTTGGAGGCTTGTAAAGGAATTCTCCAACCAGACTGAACCTCTACATCCCAGACTGCTCCAAAGCATCCTGAACTTCACTAACCCCAGGAGGTCCACCAGGATCTGGGCTGTGAGCAAAACAGACGTCCACCAGACTGTACTCCTCTCTCCTTCCTGTACTTTGACCATCGTTCCAGCCTTCCTGCCCTGTCCCAATAATGCCCCAGTTTCAGCAAGAAGTAGTTACAGAAGAGATTACATCACCCCTTATCATCAACAAAAAAACTAGAATGTTAGATCTCAAAGAACCCCAGGATAAGACTCACTCAGTACCTGTAACTCCCCCCAGTACTTCTCAGTCCTCCCCCTCCCTACACATCGTCCCCTCGGAGGCTGGGCTTCTGCTTCTGTTCTTTATATAACGCAGCCATGTTGGACACACGTCTCTTTGGCCCTCTTGGTCTCTCAGCTCCTGGTTGGCTATACTCCTGGATCTCTCTTGGTTCACCCACCCCCACTCTCCTCCTTTTCTCTCCTCCTAGGGTCCAGTTCAGCTGAGACCCTTCCAGATGTCCTTGGCTGTACTCTCCCTCATAACTAGAATAAAAATCTTCCCCTCAACCATGCTTAGGAATGTTCATGTCCTCATTTTTTTCATCAGTCAGGTCCAAAGGAAGCTCCATTTCCCCAAATTCTAGTGGTTAGACAAAGCTAGCATTCCACAGGAATTTGTGAAGCCAGTTTTCCTCTACCAAAAGGAGCCAGTTCTCTTTTCACTGGCTGTTATGGAATATTTGTTTAACTAGGCAAAGATGTGTCATATTTGTGTATGCTGAATCTGTTTAACTATGTGAAGATGTGTTGCTGTTTCACCTTGCCTGCCGAAGACACATTATTGGTCTAATAAAAAGCTGAATGGCCAATAGCTAGGCAGTAGAGGGATAGGCGGGGCTGGTGGGCAGAGAGAATGAATAAGACGAGGAATCTAGGCTTGAGAGAAAGAAAAGGAGAAGAGAACAAGGGAGAAAGAAAAGGAGATGCCAGGGGCCAGCCAGCCACCATCCATCCAGACACGGAGTAGGACATACAGAATGAAAGTAAGGTAAAAGGACCCAAGGCAAAACACAGATGAAGAGAAACAGGTTGATATAAGTTATAAGAGCTAGTGGGACCGGCATAAGGTAAGACTGAGCATTCATAACTAATAATAGGTCTTCACGCCATGTTTTGGGAGCTGGTTGGTGGCCAAAGAGAAAGCCTGTTCCAACTGGCAGAAAGGACAATGGCTGTCTGCAGCGCCTGTTAGCAACCTACGCATATGCCGGCCCCAGGCTCGCTCAGCATCACAGTGCCTGTTACACATTTCAGAGTTCACACTAGCATCCTGGCTCTTCTCACCTCCTTCCCTCCCCTAAACTCCTCCAGCTCACGGGCTTCCCCCGTCCCAGCATCTCATGCTCCTTATGACCCTGCTATTTCACCTCTCTCTTTTGCCTGGACTCTCTTTGTCTTCATCTCTCACTCTCCTCCCAACCACCTCTCTATCTCTCTCCTCTGCTTCTGTTTTTCTTATAGTCAGGTCCAATCTGCTGGCCATGCTCAGTCTACTACTTTCTCTCTCTGCTCTGGACTCTTCCAGATGACTCAGGCTGCTTCTCTCTCACACATCTACAATAATAATAATAATAATAATAATAATAATAATAATAATAATAATAATAAAACCTTCCCCTTCACCATAGCATGGAGCAATCATGTCATCAGTTTGCACAATAGT